TGTTTCTTTTTTTGTGTGTTTTTTTTTTTTTTTTTTTTTTTTTTTTTTTTTTTTTTTTTCTTCCTTTGGAAGCCACAGCAATACAGAACTCAACATGCAAGTCAGAAGAGAAGCACCAAGAAAATCAAAAGAATGCCTGGAGTCGAGCCATGGTGGCTGAAGTGAAGAGCCGAGGACGAGAATGAAGCAGCACCTCAACCCACACAATCCCACATGGTTCCTCCGGGAGACCCAAGTGCTGTCAGGAAAACAAGGAGCAAGAAGGAAAAAGGACAGAAGGAAAAGGAAGGAGTGGTAGGAAAAAAAGAAAGAAAAAGAAAAAAGAAAAAGCACAAAACAGGCACTAGAGAGATACAGCGAGGCCGAGAATGACTAAAAACCACTTGTTAACAGCTGACATGCATTCACAAGCTGTTTCCGCTGTGAGGAGGAGGGCGATGTCAGGCGCAGGAATGGTGACTGCAGGACTGCGGGCCAGGTGCACCCAGGCTGCGGTCCACTCTATCTCCCCCACACCCCGTTCCCTCCCACTGCAGGCTCATTCTTGCTCCTTCTGAACAACTTCCTCTCTGGGCCTGGCTCCCCCGAAGATAGCAGAGTTGGGATTGGCTACTTGATTGAGGGGCGTTGCAACTGTTCGAGGTTTAAGCTGGAGTCGCGGTCTCTGTGCTCGTTCCTCTGGGGGAGAAGAAAACGCAGGGAATGAGAAATGGATCCCTTCCACGTCCAGTCAAAACAACCAGACAGATATTGGTTATCAACCACCAGGTCCATTCTCCAAAATCATCAGCCGTAAAGAACTACTTTTTACTGGAGACAAAGGGGAGCAGCCCACGGCAACAGCGTGTGGCTCAGAAGGCAACTTTTTGTAGGGTGTAGTTAGCAACCACAAGCAGATGCCTCCGCTCACAAACCCACCATACCTTCTGTTGGTTCTCTGAAGTCCATATTGGAGCCACGAAGGGGAGGGCCATCTCGGAAACGACTGCCCATGGGAGGGCCTGTTCGCCGGTCACCTGGGCGACTGCCTCCCCTGCCTCCTAGGAAGTCATCTCTGAAGCCTGAAAACGGAAGATGACATTGAATTACTTCTTAAACTGCTGTCTTAAAACTGGTTATTCAGTGTTCTGTGAGTTGCTTCTGAGTTTCATTTTAAATTCCTTAGTTTCTCCAAGTACCTGAAATTCTTCTAAAATAAAGTACATTGAAAATGGGTCCAAATGTTAGTCTGTGGGGCAGTTACAATCTAACAGTCTTTTTAAATAAAACAAATCAAAAGTCTTAGGGAAAAATAAAACAAGCTGTCCAAATTCTCAGCTAGCAGGAAGACTGGAATACCATGAAACTACATTCTAATGTGGCTTAAAATAAAACAAATGTCTTCAAAGCAGGCTTTCTTCTGTTACCTAATGTAAACCTATAGCTTTACTTAAGAAGGAAACCTGAAGTTTATAGTATTTACAGTTTAAAGCAAAATCACAGTAAAGAGCTCTATGAAGAGAAAATAAAACGTGAAGCCCCCATTTTCCTGTCTCTGTTGTGTGCCGGCTGTGGAGGGCTGCTCCCCTCACCTGTGCACTTGCTCAGAGCCCTCTCAGGAAAACTCAACCTCACTGAGAAACTAAGAACTCTCATCCGAAGCAAGAATATTTTCTCAATGGCCTTTAAGACTCTTAAAAGTTTTTTTTTCTTCTATTTAAGTCAGTCTTTCACTGGATGGGTAGGAGATACACAGATTAACCTTATTAAATGTTTTAAAAAATTATTTAATTTTATTTATTCATTCATTTTAATTTGACCAGAGTGAGACACACACACACACACACACACAGAAAGTGAGAAAGCAAGCCACCAGGTCTGGGACTCGAACTGTGGTTGACTATGTGGGAATGTCCAGCACCTTAACCACCACGCCACCTGTTGGCCCCTTTATAAAATTTTTTTGCTAGAGGGTATATGTGCTCACCAAAGGGGGGTGAGAAAGCACCCCCACCAAAGAGATATGGGCATGCACAATTCTTTCTTCCTCTATTATCCTTTTGGGATTTTAGGCACACATGTCCAACATGTTTTTCAAGTCACTGGGTCTAGGATTCAAACCATGTAGTAGGTTGTATGGGATCCAGCCATATTAACCACCATGCCACCAGCTGGCCCAAGTCTATTAACCTTCTAATGGTATATAGCCTATTGAAGTTATGTTTGGTAAATATTCTGAGTTCAACTTCCGTAAAAAAAAATTATTAAGACCAAAATTACACAAATGCATTTGTGCTCCTCATGCTTAAAGCGTTCAGAGATGACTGCTTTCACTCACTCCATGATGGTGCCCCGGCTCAAGGCTTTTCACAGCTACTCATGTTTGAGAAGACCCACAGAGCCTGAGGTGCATCCTCTGTACACCTCTGAGCCTCAATATCACAGCTGCTGGATTCGCAGATTCACCTACTTGCTAAGACTGACATGGGAGCCCCAACTCCACACAGGGAGCAGTGTTCTGTCATCACTCAGGGGCATGTGCAGAGGAGGGGAGGTCTGAGTCAGTGCACGCACCCCTTCCCTGCCGAGGGAGGAAAGGGCAACACTCTGCCTTCTTGTTTCAGTTCTCGTAAGGAGTACATAAGGGTCCCCCTGACATCTACTTAGTGCTGGGTACTTTGTACCTTTGTGCTTTAAATTGGTGATTAAAAAATGTCCTGGGACCAGCAGCTGGCATGATGGCTATGTCGCTGGACTCCCATGTGGTCAACTGCGATTGGAGTCCCGGATCCAGTGGCTTAAACTCATGCCGGGCACGTGTGTGTGCGTGCCCAAGATCCCAAGAGGATAATGGATGAGAAGGGATATGCCGCATGGCCATCCCCCCCTGGGGGGTGATTTCTCGCTTTCTGTCTCTGTCTCTGTCTGTCTGTCTCTGTCTTTCTGGTGAGCATATGTGCCTGCCCTATAGCAAACACCTCTCAAAAAACAAAAACAAAAACCCCAAAGGTCCCCAAGGTAGCATTGAAGTGCTAGTTAGTGTCCCTAAGGACAAAAAAGCTGTGATGTGCCTATAAACTACACAGATGTGAGACAGGCTTCTTGCAGATGGGGGGGCCGAAGACTACAGACTTTGGTGTTCATAAATCAGCACTGTGTGTTAGACAGGGTGTCTTCCAACAGCAATACACATGAACTGAGGTTGGGCACGCACTGATGAACCTGTTGTGACCAGAGGCATGCAGGAGTCCACCCGTCTTTCCTCTAGGAGCGACAGTTCAGCGCTGGCTGCCCCAGCCTCCTAGCCGCTGCCACAGAACACAACTACCTCCAATGAGAACCGACTCTAATTCCAGTGGTGGTACATTTCTGTTCAAGGGTGGCAAGGATTTTGAAAACAGACCAAATAATCTGAAACGTAGTTTGGAAATAGACTTGAACAATATAAATTTTAACAATACAAGTAATAAAAGCAACTCTTAATACATTTATATCAATGAGGGTACCGCTTTGGGAAAAATAAAGTTGGATGCCTGTAGTCAAGGACAGTTGATCCTTGAATAACATGGGTGGCACTACACAAGTCCACTTACACACTTTTTTTTGCAATAAATATATTTAAAAATATAATACAGTGCTATAAATGTATTTTAATTTTCATAACAATGTTCTCTAGTTTACTTGATTCTAAGAATACAGTATGCAATATAAATAATGTATAAAATGTATTGATCAACTGCTTATGTTATCAGCTAAGCTTCCAGTCAACAATAGGCTATTAATCATAGTGTGGGCCAACAGATGGAATGGAGGTTAAGATGCTAGCTCCTACATGGCCAGCTGTGTAGTTTGAGTCCCAGACCCGGTAGCCTGAAAAATCACTCTGGGCACAGGTATGTGTGCGCCATAAATCCTGTAGTTTGAGTCCCAGACCCGGTAGCCTGAAAATCACTCTGGGCACAGGTATGCGTGTGCCAAAAATCCTTGGAGAAGAATAGAGGAGTGATAGTGGTGTGGCCATTCCCCTTGGGGGGGACTTACTTTCCCTGTCTCTCTGTATCTTTCTCTGGTGAGCACACACACCCTATAACAAAAAAATAAGTTTTAAAGGAGTCGAAATTATACATGAATTTTCAACTGCACAGGGGTTATTGCCCCTAGCCTGTGTGTTATTAGGTCACCTGAATGAGGCCCTTTAAAATCTTAACAACCAGAGATCACACCGTTCATTAAACGAGCTTCTCTGATTTTCAAACATTTAGCCTGACACTTCCCCCAAAATAATGTCAACTGTGATGCACCTTTCCATGTGCATGGAAGTTGAGTCATGCCCCGTAGTAGGAGATTTAGTAGTTTTTGCTACCAGTGTCTAGCATAAAGCAAAGAACTTCACAAATGAACGCAAGCACTCCCGTCTCCAGGTGCAGGACCACGCACAGTACAGACACCAGTGTACGTTAATATTGAGTGAAAGGCGCGCTTCAAAATCTTTTATCAAATGACTGATGGGAAAATTATGAAGGAAAAAGCAAAGCTTGGCATTAATAATCTTTTTTTTTAAAAAAAGGATTATGTTATTTAACTTAATTTATTTTGATTTGAACACTGAGGGACAGAGTGAGAGAGAAAGCAAGCCACCAGGTCTGGGACTTGAACCGTGGTCAGCATGTAGGAGTTCAGTGCCTTTAACCACCCCACCACCTGCCGGCCCCAACATTAATAACCTTTAATCAAGTTTATAGGTAGATTTCTAGGAAGCACACTCTTCATGAGAATCCTCAAGAATTCTCTTTATAGGGACCAGCGGTTAGCGTAATGGCTATGTCGCTGGACTCCCACGTAGTTGACCGCGGTTCGCGTCCTAGACCCGGTGGCTTAAAACTCACGCCGAGAGTGTGTGCGTGTGTGCCCAGGATCCCGAGAGGAGACTGGAGGAGAAGGGATTGTGGCGTGACCATCCCCCCGGGGGGTGATTTCTCACTTTCTGTCTCTCTCTCTGTCTGGCGAGTGCACGCACCCTATAGCAAAAACCTCTCCAAAAAAAAAAAAAAAGAATTCTCTTTACAGAGTTAAGTTTAACATACTGGCTATTTCTGGTGGTGGGATATTTTTATTAATAGGATATTTTCTTTGAATTTTTTGGTACTTTTTTTTTAAACAATAAGGACATATTATTTTAATGATAATATTAAATATTACTTTTGTATTAAAAAGTAAACAACAAAAAAGGATCTTTTTTGCAAGTAATATACAAAACATTAAATGAGTCACTATTCCATCAAGTGATCAGGACAGGTTTCACATCACCAACAGCTCACACAGGAACCAGGGGGGTGGCACGGCAGTGGGCAGGGCGTGTTTACAGCAACTCTGCTTGGGCCCCAGAGGCCAAGTTAAGCCAGCAGTGAGAAGGTGTTAGCTACTTAGATACCGTCCACTGCTCGGGATCTCACAGTGCATGGTGCCATTTCTACAGTACCTGTGAACACAAAGCTGGCAGGTTAAAAGGCCACTGCTCTTTGAGCCACTAGAGTTGGCTTTGAGAAGACATCTGTTGCATGTTTCAATCAGAGACTAGCTTATACATAAAGTTACTTGTTGTATTATACTGTACTTTTATGAATAAGCTCACTTCTGACTGTCTATAGGACTTGTAAGAATCAAATTATTCAATAGAGAATTAGGCATCTGTTTAGCTGGAGCAGTCCTAGGACAGAGCTTCGTTTTGATGGGGAGGGTGACTGGCTGTAAGGGGTGCTGGTGTAACCCTGCGCAGTAAGTGCAGAAAGAGTACCTCAAGTTTGCCTCCCTTCTACCTTTCTGGTGCAACGGGCGTTTTAACATGTATATAGACTACTTTTATAATTAAGAAACAGCAACCACATTTTAAAAAAGAAAAAGAAAGAAAAGAGAAAAACAAAAACCACCACTTAGATCAGCCTTTCAAACCAGAGGCCTAGCATGCAAAATGACCACTTTTGTTGAGATACTTAATGGCCAGCCAGGGCTGGGTAAGAAAGAGAATGGTAAAGTGGATCACGCCCAACAGCAAGGAACTGGCCACCAGGACCTTTACCACCAAAGGACCCTCAGGAACCAGAGTTACGAGGCCTTCTGTAAACGTCTATACTGTTACTTCTACAAGTAACAACACTCTTGTGCTATACACAAAACCACCAAGCAGTTTCCCTGGGTAGACCTGGAAAGCCTCCTGGACCAAGGCTTCTGCATGTATGGCGAACAGCAGGCCAGTGAAGGTACCCGAGGTGCCCACGGCGCGGAGCTGTTCAAGCCCTACCCTGGGCAGGTTCCTACCGAGGCTTACGCCTGGGTACTGTTTAGGAAAGTTTCATTTGTGAAAGGAACTAAAGAAGTAGTCTGGCCAGGCAGGCTACTCACAAGACACATAGAGAGCAGCATGGCCACTGGGAAAAAAGGTAAATGGTGATACTTTAAATACTGATACCGGAATTGAAGTCATCCCGGGAATCCCATCCACCTCTAGATTCTCGAGAGCCACCCATTCCTGAGGATACACAAAAAAGATAAAAGTTGAGGTCGTACCATTACCTTGCTGCACAAACATGGAAAAAATCATTTGGAAGACGTATAGCTCATGTGATGGGAAGTTCAATAAAATCATTTATGAAAATTTTTGCTGCCAACAGATAAAGAAAAAACCAAAAACAACTCCCAGGCTTGCAGAAGCATCATCCATTCTTTCTCAGGTTTTATGCATATTTTGAACAGCTTACAAGAACCTCAGACCTATCAGATACAGTTCTGCCAGTGACGTTCAAGAGCCGTCATTGGCGGGCATACAGCAATACGTTCAGTTCAGAAGAACCAATCACCTCTGTCATCTGGTCCACCTTTCCTGAAGCCAAAGCCACCTTTATCTTGTTTTCTGCCTTCTGCAATGTCCACACGAAGTGATCGATCACCCAACAGCTAATAATAAGGGGAAAGTAGTGTAAGTAGTGGCAATGAAGAAAATCTTGACTGCTAACATGACAGAGAAAACTTAAGGATACTTACTGCACCATCGTATGTCAAAGCTTCCTTAAGGGAATCCACCTCATCGAATTCTACATAGCAGAATCCTGTAAGAGAAAATAAATCCTCAATTTCCTCAAGTTAATTCTGGATTAAAGATATGGTGGATCTGTCTGTGCCATATCCCTACAGCAGAACTACCATTTTTACCGCAATTAGACCAGTGGGGCCCATAAAAGCACATTTTACTATAAATAAATAGAAGCTGACTGGTTGTTTAGCTGGAGCAGTCCTAGGACAGAGCTTCGTTTTGATGGGGAGGGTGACTGGCTGTAAGGGGTGCTGGTGTAACCCTGCGCAGTAAGTGCAGAAAGAGTACCTCAAGTTTGCCTCCCTTCTACCTTTCTGGTGCAACGGGCGTTTTAACATGTATATAGACTACTTTTATAATTAAGAAACAGCAACCACATTTTAAAAAAGAAAAAGAAAGAAAAGAGAAAAACAAAAACCACCACTTAGATCAGCCTTTCAAACCAGAGGCCTAGCATGCAAAATGACCACTTTTGTTGAGATACTTAATGGCCAGCCAGGGCTGGGTAAGAAAGAGAATGGTAAAGTGGATCACGCCCAACAGCAAGGAACTGGCCACCAGGACCTTTACCACCAAAGGACCCTCAGGAACCAGAGTTACGAGGCCTTCTGTAAACGTCTATACTGTTACTTCTACAAGTAACAACACTCTTGTGCTATACACAAAACCACCAAGCAGTTTCCCTGGGTAGACCTGGAAAGCCTCCTGGACCAAGGCTTCTGCATGTATGGCGAACAGCAGGCCAGTGAAGGTACCCGAGGTGCCCACGGCGCGGAGCTGTTCAAGCCCTACCCTGGGCAGGTTCCTACCGAGGCTTACGCCTGGGTACTGTTTAGGAAAGTTTCATTTGTGAAAGGAACTAAAGAAGTAGTCTGGCCAGGCAGGCTACTCACAAGACACATAGAGAGCAGCATGGCCACTGGGAAAAAAGGTAAATGGTGATACTTTAAATACTGATACCGGAATTGAAGTCATCCCGGGAATCCCATCCACCTCTAGATTCTCGAGAGCCACCCATTCCTGAGGATACACAAAAAAGATAAAAGTTGAGGTCGTACCATTACCTTGCTGCACAAACATGGAAAAAATCATTTGGAAGACGTATAGCTCATGTGATGGGAAGTTCAATAAAATCATTTATGAAAATTTTTGCTGCCAACAGATAAAGAAAAAACCAAAAACAACTCCCAGGCTTGCAGAAGCATCATCCATTCTTTCTCAGGTTTTATGCATATTTTGAACAGCTTACAAGAACCTCAGACCTATCAGATACAGTTCTGCCAGTGACGTTCAAGAGCCGTCATTGGCGGGCATACAGCAATACGTTCAGTTCAGAAGAACCAATCACCTCTGTCATCTGGTCCACCTTTCCTGAAGCCAAAGCCACCTTTATCTTGTTTTCTCTGCTCTGCAATGTCCACACGAAGTGATCGATCACCCAACAGCTAATAATAGGGGGAAAGTAGTTAGTGGCAATGAAGAAAATCTTGACTGCTAACATGACAGAGAAAACTTAAGGATACTTACTGCACCATCGTATGTCAAAGCTTCCTTAAGGGAATCCACCTCATCGAATTCTACATAGCAGAATCCTGTAAGAGAAAATAAATCCTCAATTTCCTCAAGTTAATTCTGGATTAAAGATATGGTGGATCTGTCTGTGCCATATCCCTACAGCAGAACTACCATTTTTACCGCAATTAGACCAGTGGGGCCCATAAAAGCACATTTTACTATAAATAAATAGAAGCTGACTGGTAATCTTTTGTCTCAATTATAGCTTATTAGTCAGAAAATACTAGTCCAACAGGCAACCAAAAGAGCAGCTGGGTTTTTAAAAATTCCCTTCCTTGGGCACCAGCAGTTGGCGTAATGGCTATGTTGCTGGACTCCCATGTAGTTGACCACGGTTTGAGTCCCAGACCCAGTGGCTTAAACTCACGCCGGGCGCTTATGCATGTGTGCCCAAGATCCTGAGAAGAGAATGGAGGAGAGGGGATTGCGGCGTGGCCATCCCCCGAGGGGTGATTTCTTGCTTTCTGTCTGTCTTTCTAGCGAGTGCATGAGCCCCATAGCAAAAATCTCTCAAAAAAGCCAAACCAAAACAAAACAAAAACAAAGCACTCCCTTCTTCAATGTTAAAAACTTACTTGGGTAACCGCAGAATTCTCTGACTTCTGAGTGACTTTTACTTAATATAATTTCACTGGAGATTAGCTTTCATAGATTTCAAATGTGATGCCTAAAATGCTTTGAAGGAAGAGCCTTAAATAGTCTATTAACTTACAGCTCAGCAGTTGATACAACATTTGCTTAACAAAGAAATTTACTGGGACCAGCAGATGGCATAATGGCTATGTCGCTCAACTCCCATGTAGCCAACCATGGTTTGAGTCCCAGACCCAGTAGCTTAAACTCACACCGGGCGCGTGTGCATGCATGCCCAAGATCCTGAAAGGAGAATGGAGAAGGGATTGCGGTGTGGCCATCCCCCCAGGGGATGATTCCTTGCTTTCTGTCTCTCTCTGTCTTTCTGGCGAGCGCATGTGCCCTGTAGGAAAACCTCTCAAAAAAAAAAAAAAAGAATGTACAGCCTTGGCTGGAAGATCTACCAGCCTCTAAGAGTTCTTCCCTAAGTGAACTCATGTTGAGAATAATTGAGAAAACCACTCCTAAGTTCAATGACAGCCCTAATCTAATCTAATACATCTAATATCCTAGAGATGCTGAACTGAACCGGATCCTCAGAGACAAACTCCAAAACCTGCTGCAAAATATTACACAGTTTTAGTTCCTAAACCTTGCTAGCAGGCAAACTGGGTGGGACTGATTTACATCCCCACCACCCCCTCCCCATAAGTTATCTTTATATAATTGAGGAAAAATAGAATGCAAATTTTAATGACAAATTCATTGAGAAGATACTAAACAGTACATTTTAAAAGGAGAGCTCTAGGGGACCAGCAATTGCATAATGGCTATGTTACTGGACTCTCATGTTGTTGACTATGGTTCGAGTCTCAGACCCGGTGGCTTAAACTCATGCTGGACGTGCATGTGTGCGTGCGTGCCAAGATCCTGAGAGAAGAGTGGAGGAGAAGGGATTGTGGCATGGCCATTCCCCCGGGGGGTGATTTCTCACTTTCTGTCTCTGTCTCTGTTTGTCTCTCTGGTGACTGCACACGTCCCATAGCAAACAGAACAAAACAAAACAAAAAAAACCTCTCCAAAATAAATAAATTAAATTAAATAAAAGGAGAGCTCTATAACCAATTAATCTAGTCACATTAAAACATTTATAAACTGGGACTAGCAGTTGGCATAATGGTTATGTTGCTGGACTCCCACATAGTCAACTGCAGTTCAAGTCCCAGACCCGGTGGTTTAAACTCAAGCTGGGCAAGTGTGCATGCGTGCCCAAGATCCCGAGAGGAGAATGGAGAAGAGACTGTGGTGTGGCCATCCCACCCCCCCCCGGGGGGGGTGATTTCTTATTTTCTGTCTCTCTGTCTTTCCGGTGAGCGCACGCACCTTACAGCAAAAACCTCTCAAAAACAAAACCAAACCCCACTTATAAGCTGAAATTTTAAATAGAAATAGCCAGCATGGGGGCCAGTGGATGACGTAATGATTACACCACTGGACTCGAGTTGACCACTGTTTGAGTCCTGGACCTGGGGACTTAAAAGTCACGCCAGGCCTGTGTGTGTGTGTGCTCAAAATCCTGAGAGAAGAATGGAGGAGAAGGGACTGTGGTGTGGCCATTCCCCAGAGGCGGTTTCTTACTTTCTGTCTCTTTGACAAGCGCACATACCCTATAGCAAAAATCTCTTTAAAAAAAAAAAAGAAAAGAAATAGTCAGCATGGCTTCTTTCATTGGATGGGCATCTCGAATAATCCATTCAAGGAAGAGCACTTAGTCCAACCTGATGAAGCCTAGGTCCTCAGTGCACCGACAAACACTGACGTCTCATGTCGACGCCATATTTCTGGATCAGACTGTGCTGGTTTGGGCACACGTGGCAAGAGCAAACACCCTGGCCAAATTTCCACTGTGGGTCCAGTGGAGGTGCTGGTCATCCATCCTGCTCTCACTGGGGCAACGAGGCAAAAAGGGCACTCGCTTCCATAAGCTTAACTAATGTGTCTGTTTTCACTGTGAGACTATGTGCTCTATATGACTTCACGTTCTAGAGCGAGGAAGATAAGGACAGCAGATATATGCAAAGCGACCTGGATCTGTAACCCCTTCCAGCTCCCCACCCTAAATCGCTCTACACTTTTCACTGACCTTCCTTTGGATGAACAAAGCCAATCAAATGTCCTACATTATACACTTAGACACTGGGCATATTGTTTTTAAAGAATTATTTTAACTTTATTTATTTATTTATTTATTTTTAATCTGACCATAAAAGGACAGAGTGAGAGAGAGCGAGCGAGAAGGAAAGTGAGAAAGCAAGCCTCCGGGTTCGGGACATGAACCCTGGTTGGCCATGCAGGAGTCTAGAGCCCTTAACCACCATGCCATCTGCCAATCCTGCATATTTTTCTTAAACAAACTCTGAAGGTAAAATAACACTCACCTTTTCCTACACTCTTACTTCCCACTGCTCAAGCATTGTGAAGAGACGAACCAACTTACAGACACTAACATTATCAGAAATCTGAGCCGACCCTCCTGACATGTATGCTCTGAATTTACAGATGTATACTGACAACACTTGGTAGGTTATCTCTGGGATTTCATAAAAAGTACTGAATCCTAAGAAAATTACCATGGAAAACATGAATCGGTAGAGGTGAAACATGCCTTAAAATGTTCTCAGTGGTATCCATTCATTTTTCTCTTGGGCTAACTCCTGTACTGCCAGAGACAAGGTTAATATACAGGTCAGGCAAACAAACTTGGGCATATGCCCCTTATTTCTACAAATAGGATTTTCCTTCCTGAAAAAAAAAAAAGACCTGAGTAATAGAGATATGCTTATTTTGGTTACTTGTACCAGATAAATATTTGTAACACTTTCATGATTAGAGCCTGGTTCACTAACCTGTTTTTATTTATGACACCCCCCTCAAGTCTTCAGAGAAATACATAATCAGAATTCCCCCAAACTCACCTTTAAATTTGTCTGTGTCTTTGTCTCTGACTAGCCGTACACTCCTTATGCTGAGATCCTTAAAGATAGCGTCTATGTCGCCCTGAACCGTATTAAAAGGTAGATTTCCTACATATGCCGTGTAGGGGGGCTCTGTGGGCAACTCCTTCTGGCTACGGGAACCATGGCCACCAGCACTGCCGCGGGACCTAGAAGGGGAAATAGACAGCATTCAAGTCGGCCTGTGTTCCTGCCCAAGAGAAGGACACGCTGTCTTCCACTCAGCCACAAAGACAGTGCCCGGACCCCAGACACAACGCTCTGCCCTGACCCACACTAACAGTCACTGCTTCAGGGGATCTTAGAGTACTGTGAAATAGCACTTATCAAAAAGGTGCCTGGTTTTTAGTGACAGAAACCAGAATGTAGAAACCAGAACGTACAAAAACATACATTTCTGGGACCAGTAGTTAGTGTAATGGCTATGTTGCTGGACTCCCACGTAGTTGACTGTGGTTCACGTCCTGGACCCAGTGGCTTAAAACTCACACCGGGCGCATGTGCATATGTGCCCAAAATCCCAGGAGGAGAATGGAGGAGCAGCGATTGCGGTGTGCCCATCCCCCATCGGGGGTGATTTCTCGCTTTCTGTCTCTCTGTCTCTCTTTGTCTGTCTGGCGAGCGCATGTGCCCTATGGCAAAAACCTCTTAAAAAAAAAAAAACCAACAAAAAAAATATACATTTCTTCTAAGGCACACGGTTCTCTCCTACTCTGTACCTGCCAAGTGTTTATCTCCTAAAACGTAAGCAAATACTGTCTCTTTAACACAATGCTCCTAAGAAACACAGAAAATGGCTGCTGAGAAGTAATACACTTAATTCAAAAGTGCAATTATTGATACTGCATTCATACACAACTGTTTCTCTCAATTGCTTGATTATGGGTGATAAGAATGCTCTAATAACAGGGGCCAGCCGGTGGCGTGGTGGTTAAGGCTCTGGACACTCCCACTTGGCCAACCAGGGTTAGAGTCCCAGACTTGGTGGCTTGCTTTCTCACTTTCCCTCTCTCTCTGTGTCTCTTGCTGGTCAATTTAAAATGAATGAATAAATAAAATTAAATAAACAATTATTAAAAGAGAATAAAGAACCTCTAATAACAACTTTAATTGTGCACACAGTAAGTACTGTGTCCACACTATTCTCCACTCTTGTGAGCTATTTCACTGGGTCCTCAAATACATGAGATGCATCACTACCCATTTAAATCTCCACGTCATTTCCTCAGTTCTACATAGTAATAGCTGGTAACTTTGCAGAAGTACTGGCTTAACTCCAACTGTGCCACTAACTAGCCTTATATGACCTTAAGAAATTACTCAACTTCTTTAAGTTTGTGTTATATGCGTGGTGCTTTAGACAGGGTCTTACTGTGCTATTCAATAAAATCCTTCTGCTGCTGGGGTCAGCAGATGGTGTGGTGGTTAAGGCAGCTGGATCTCACATGGCTGTGTGCTTTGCAGACTGGTGCTCATGTGTGCGTGTATGCCCAAGATCTAAGGAGGAGAGTGGAGAAGGAACTGCAGCATGGCCACTCCTCCTCACAGATGATTTCTCACTGTCCCTCGCTCTCTGTCTTCTTTATTGCTCACCAGTAAGCTCATGGGCCCTACAGCAAAAACCTTGTCTCCCAAGTTGCTGGGACTACAGGCACCTGCCACCATGCTGACTTTTAACAGTGGGCCAGGAAATGAAACCCAGAACTACTGAAAATAACAGAAGGTGCTCTACACCTGCCTGACACGGTGTAGGTGTACAGCAGGAAACCACCGTGATTACTCCCACCTACAAACTGAGTGTTCAACTATTACACAAATATATATTTTAAAATGAGGTAATTCTGGCCAGCAGGTAGTGTGGAGATTAAGGTGTTAGATCTTACATGGCCAGCTTTGCGGTGTGAGTCCCAGACCGGCATGTGTGCCCAGAACCCTGAGAGAAGAGCGGAGAAGGGACTGAGGTGTGGCCATCTACCCTGGAGGGTGATTTTTCACTTTCTCCCTCTCTCTTCCTCTGTTGAGCACAAGAACCCTGTAACGAAAACTAAAAGAGAAGTCACTGGGTCAGCTGGTGGCATAATAGTTAAGGCACCTGGATCTGACATGGTTGACTGACTGGATCTGGCAGCTTGAAAGACATGCCAGGTGCATATGTGTACATGCTCAAAATCGTTAGGAGACTGGAAGAGAAGTCATTATGGTGGGACCTCCCCTCCCCCCCCCGGGGGGGGACAGGGTGATCGCTCACTTTCTCTTTCTCTGAGTGCATGCATCCTATAGCAAAAAATGTCAAATAAAAGGTCATTACACATTTGTACAAATCCATAGAAAGTATAACACTGGGACCAGCAGTTAGCGTAATGCTATGTTGCTGGACTCCCATGTAGCTGACCGTGGTTCGAGTCCCAGAGACTTAAACTCACACCAGGTGCATGTGCGTGCGTGCCCAAGATCCCGAGAGGAGAATGGAGGAGAAGGGGTTGTGGTGTGGCCATCCCCCCTTGGGGGGTGATTTCTCTCTTTCTGTCTGTGTCTCTCTGTCTCACGCACGCGCCCTGTAGCAAAAACCTCTTAAAAAAAAAAAAAAAAAGGTATACCACCAAGAGTAAACCCTAATGTAAACTATAGACTCTGGGTGACACGAATGTCAACCTAAGTTCAGGATGTTGACAATGGGGGAAGCTGTGCGTAAGGGACCAGGGAAGGGGATATACTGGAGCTCTCTGTACTTTCTGCTCAGTTTTGTTATGAACCTAAAACTTCTAAAAAAAAATAAAAGTCTACTTAGAGCCAGCAGGTGGCCTGGTGACTAAGGAAGCTGGATCCCACACAGCCAACTTCGTGATTTGAGTCTCAGCCCCGGTGCTTTAAAAAACACACCAGCACACATGTGTGCATGCCTAAAACTCTAACAGGATGCGAAATGGAGGGAGGGAGGGCTTCTGATGTGACTGCACCCCACTGTACCACCAGGGGGTGCTTTCTTTTTCTCTGTCTCTGGCAAGCACAGGTGCCCTTTGGCAACATAGAAAAAAAAAAAAAAAAAAAAAGAAAGAAAAGAGAAAAGGACACATGGAACGATCTGAGGTCAGTATATACGGAAACTATATAGGGTACTACTGTTACTGTCACGTTTCTTAGAAGGGTAGGATACTGCTGCTAGTAGGCTACAGCTCAGCTCTCCGGAGGGTTATGAGTGACCTACGAAGACACAGATTCAGCATTAAGGATATATATGCAGACACGTTCGGCTGACTCTTGGACACCCAGGTTTGAACTGTACTGACCTACTTGTATGTGGATTTGTTTTTCTTTTTGATTTTCCAGAGGATGCATGTGCCCACTAGGGAGAAAGACAAAGAGGGAAACCGAGAAAGCACCCCTCCCACTGGGATATGGGTCAAGCTGCAATCTGCTCTCCATCTTTCCCTCCTTTTGGGATTCTGGGCATACATTCTCACATACCCAGTGTGTTTTCAAACTGCTAGAGCCGGAACTACAACCGTACAGTTGGCCATGTGGGATCCAGCCTCCTTAACCACCACACCACCAACTAGCCCTATTTCTTTTCAATAAATACTATACACTGGGCTGCCAGATGGCATGGAGGTTGAGGCAGCTAGATCCCACATGGCTGAATGAGTGGCTCGAGTCCTTGACTCAGCTTGAAAATCGTGACAGGCATGTGCTCAAAATTCCTAGAGGAGACTGGAGGAGAAGCGATTGCAGAGTGGCCATCTTCCTGAGGGTGAACTCACAGTCCCTATCTCTGTCTCTCGCTGGCAAGTGCCCACAACCTGTAGCAAAAAGCAAAACAAAACCAAAACCCTAAAAAAAACCCAAAAACAAAAACAAAACCCATAAAAACACAACTATATATGCATTCTGTTTATGATTTTCTTAGTAACATTATTTTCTGTAGCTTACCTTACTATAAGAATACAGTATATAATACATACAACATACAAAATTTGTGTTAATCGACTATTTATGTTATTGGTATGGCTTGCAGTAGATTCTGGTTTGGGGACCAGCAGACAGATGGTGTAGCCATTACGTCGCTGGGCTCTTCACAGAGCTGAGTGTGTGTGTGTCTGTGTGTCCAACAGAGAAGGGACTGCAGCATGGTTATCTCCCCTTGGGGAAGGGGGAGTGTGTGACTTCTCACTTTCCCTCTCTCCAGTGTACTCATGTGCCTTAGGGCAATGAGTACACTGGGTTTTAAGGGTTTGTGTTTGTTTTAAATGGATATTTAAAACAAATTAGTTCTTTTGCATTAATCAAAGATCTGCTCAAAATCATCCTTTTAATAGCAGGGGGAATAGCAATACCAGCCTTAGAAAGCACCTGGATTTAAGAATCCATATATTGTTAGAAATATGAAAGTAACTCTGTATCTTCCCTGAGATATCATAAGTATTTAGGAACATCATACTTTTTGTTTGTTTCTTTATTATTTTGTTACAGAGTACATGTACCTGCCAGAGAGAGAGAGAATTCACCCCTAGGTGATGGCCATGCCACAATCCCATCTTTTCTGGTCTCTTCCGAGATCTTGGACAAGCACGTTCATGTGCCTGGCCTGACTTTCAAGTCACTGGGTCTGGGCATAAATTGCAGGTTGGCCATGTGGAATCTAGTGCTTCAGCCTCCTCGAAGGGTGCATGCACTTACTATAGATACAGAGAGAGGAGAAAACATCTCTCAGCAGCATGTGATCACACTGCAATCCTTTCTGTTTCAAACCAAAGGGGCTGTGATATGAACTGCTGATGGCCATGTGGGATATGGCTTCATAACCTCCAGGCCACACAGCCAGCCCGAAAGTACTTTGTTTAAAAAGTAAAAACAATACATGGAGGCCCCAGGTGTACAACTGGTAGCAAACTGAACTGCAGCGTTGGAAGCCATATGGCTGACTACGGGTCTGGATCCTCAGGTAGGCCGGAGAACAGGCTGTGTATGTGTACATCTGTGCTTAGAGGTATAACAAGCTGAGGGTCCAGAAAAGGGGACTGCTGTGTAACGAGACCCTGCGCCTGCCCCTCTCTCTGTCCTTCTCTCTTCTGTCTCCCTTGTGTATGTGCATGTACTCTCTATCAGGAAGAAAAATAACACATGGGGAGAACAGATTCATTCGACTCTTTAG